GACTACAAACAGAGTTCTCATCATAAACTTTTGAGTCCAAAAAACAGTGGGCCAATATATTCAAAGTGCTAAAAGAAAAAAATTGTCAACCAAGAATCCAAATCTGGCAAAACTGTCCCTCAAAAGTGAGGAAAAATGGGGCACCTGGGTGGCTCAGTTGTTGGGTGTCTGCCTTCGGCTCAGGTCATGATCCCGGGGTCCTGGGATCGAGCCCCACATTGGGCTCCCTGCTCCGGGGCGGGAGGCCTGCTTCTCCCTCTCCCTCTGCCCCTGCTTGTGTTCCCTCTCTCGCTGTGTCTCTGTCAAATAAGTAAATAAAATCTTAAAAAAAAAAAAAAAGTGAGGAAAAAAAATAAAGACATTTTCAGACCAAGATTGAGGGAGCTCATTACCACTAGACCTGCGTTGCAAGAAATGCTTGTTCATGTAGGGTGAAAGGAAAGGACACTAGACAATAATTCAAAGTTGTATAAAGAAATAAAGATTCTAATTAAGGTAAACACATGGGCAATTATAAAACCTATTATTGTAACAGTGGGTTGTAACTCCACTTTTTGTTTTCTACATGAATTAAGACTAATACGTTAAAGAAAACTGGGGTGTCTGGGTGACTCAGTTGAGTGTCTGACTCTTGATTTTGCCTCAGGTCATGATCTCAGGGACTGAGCCCCATATCGGGCTCTGTGCTTGGGCACGGAGTGTACTTGAGATGCTCTCCCTCTCCCCTTCTCCCCCTCTGTGCCTCCCCCTGCTCGCTCACTTTCTCTCTGTCTCTCCCTCTCAAATAAATAAATGAAATATTAAAAAAAGAACAATTACTGGTCTAAAAGCTAGTATTAATGTAATTTTTGTTTGTAACTCCAAATCTTGTTTTCTACATAATTTAAGAGTAGATACTGTATACCTGAAGCTAATATAACACTGTATGTTAACTACACTGGAGTTAAAATTTTAAACATTTTTAAAATATCTCAAAAAGTGATTATGACCAGTGCACATGCATACAAAACTAAATCACAAAGAAATGGAAAATCAGAATAGGTCTATAACTAGTAAAGTGATCAAATCAGTAATCAAAAGTCACTTGAGAAGAAAATCCCTGAACTTGTTGACTTTACTGCTGAATTCTACTACACATTTAAAGAACTAATATCTTTTTAAACTTTTTCAAAAAATAGGAGGGAATACTTCCTAACTCATTCTGTGAGGCCAGCATTATTACTCTGATAGGAAAACCAGGTAAGGACACACTAGATAAATATCCCTTATAAACATTGATGCAAAAGTCCTCAACAAAATACTGGTAAACCAAATTCAGCAGTGTACTAAAAAGACTATATATATATACCACTACCAAATGGGATTTATTCCTAGAATGCAAGGATAGTTCAACATACAAAAATTGATCAATGTAATATACCACATTAACAGAATGAAGGGAAAAAAAACACAGGATCATCTCAGTTGATACAGAAAATGTATTTGACAAAATTCGGTATCCTTTCATGATTGAAACACTCAACAGAGTAGGAAAAGAAGGCAACTACCTCAACATAATAAAAGCCATCCATATATGAAAAACCCACAGCAAACATCATACTTGGTGGTAAAAGACTAAAAACTTTTCCTCTAAGATCAGGAACAAGGCAAGAATCGTTGATATTGCCATTTCTATTCAACATAGTACTGGAAGTAGCAAAAGAAATAAAGAGGAAAAGAAATAAAAGTCATCCAAATTGGAAAAGAAAAAATTATCTCGGTTGACAGCATGATCTTATATGTAGAAAAACCCTTCTACAAAAACAGCTAATAAACGAATGCAGCAAAGTAGCAGATTACAAAGTCAACCCACAAAAAATTAATTGCATTGCTATACCTTAACAATGAAAAGGAAATTAAGAAAGCTATTCCAGGGGCGCCTGGGTGGCTCAGTCGTTAAGCGTCTGCCTTCAGCTCAGGTCATGATCCCAGGGTCCTGGGATCGAGCCCCACATCGGGCTCCCTGCTTGGCGGGAAGCCTGCTTCTCCCTCTCCCTCTCCCACTCCCCCTGCTTCCGTTCCCTCTCTCGCTGTGTCTCTCTCTGTCAAATAAATAAATAAAATCTTTAAAAAAAAAAAAAAAGAAAGCTATTCCATTTACAATAGCATCAAAAAGAATAAAATATGTAAGAATTAACTGAGGAAGTGAAAGATATATACAATGAAAACTGCAGAACATTTCTGAAAGATATTAGAGAAGACATGAGTAAAAGCATATTCTATGTTCATTGAGTGGAAGACAATATAATATTGTTAACACATCAGTATTACCCAATGTGATCTACAGAGTTAACTGAAGTCTCTCTTAAAATACCAATGATATTTTTTGCAGAAATAGAAAACTCCATCCTAAACTTCATAAATAAACTCAAAGGACCCAAATAGTTAAAACCGTCTTGAAAAAGAACTATAAAGCTGGAACACTCATACTTCCTGATTTCCAAACTTACTACAAAGCTATCATAATCAAAACAGGGTACTAGAATAAAAATAGACATCTAGACCAATGGAATAGAATAGCACTCCAAGAAATAAGCCCTCACATACACGGTCAAATGATTTTTGACAAGGGTGCTAAGACCATTCTGTAGGGAAAAGCTTATCTTTTCAACATATGATGCTGGGAAAACTGTATATAAGGTTGGACCCTTATTTAATACCATATGCAAAATATAAGTCAGAATGGATCAAAAATTTAAATGTAAGAACTAAAACTGTAAAACTCTTAGATGAAAACATTGGACAAAAGCTTGGAATTGGATTTGACAGTGACTTTTTGGATTTGACACCAAAGGCTCAAGTAACAAAAGACAAAATAGACAAATTGAACTTCATGAAAATTTAAAAATTTTGCACATCTAAGACACTCTCAAAAGTGGAAGAAGATACTTGCAAAGCATGTACTGGATAAATGATTAATATCCACAGTGTATTGAGAACCCCTAAAACTCAGCAGCAAAAAACACAACTGGATTCAAAAATTGGCAAAGGACTTGAATAGACATTTCTCCAAAGAAGAGATACAAATGACCAATAAGCACATAAAAAGATGCTCAACATAGTTGTAATATAGATGAACGTGCAGGACTTTATGCTAGGTAAAATAAGCCAGTCACAATGGGACAAAGACTTTGTGATTCCATATATATGTCAAAATTATAGAGACAAAATGTAAAATGGTTGTTGCCAGGACCTGCTGAGAGGAATGGGATTTTCTTTTCTTTTTTTTTTTTTAAGATTTTTTATTTATTTATTCATGAGAGACAGGGGGAGAGAGAGAGAGAGAGGCAGAGGCAGAGGGAGAAGCAGGCTCCCTGCTGAGCAGGGAGCCCGATGCGGGACTCGATCCCAGGACCCTGGGATCATGACCTGAGCCGAAAGCAGACGCTTAACGACTGAGCCACCCAGGCGCCCGGAATGGGGTTTTCTTATTTAAGGGTATAGAATTTCAGTTTCATAAGATGAAAAGAACAGAACAGTGGACATGATGGTGGTGATGGCTGCACAACATTATAAATGTATTTAATACCACTGAACTGTATACCAAAAATGGTTAAGATGGTAAATTTTGCTCTGTGTATTGTATCACAGTAAAAAAAAAAAAGTTATTGTGAGTTAAATGACATTTTATATATACTAAAAAATAGGTTTTTCTCCTTTGAGGGAGAATTTGATTTTTGACGGCAGCTATAAGTTTTGGGGGGGCCTAGGTTTGTTAGTATTAGGAGTAAACTTGTTATTAACATTTTTGGCCCAGAGTAAGATCTGAAAATAACTTGGTGGGAGTAACTTTTGTATGGCCTATAAATTTTTGTAAAGATAATCTTACACTTAAAGTAGAGTTACAAACATAGTACGTATTTGTTTGTCATTTCTTACTCTCCTACAATTAGTGACAATTCTTCAGTCTTTATCTTTTATGACCTTGATACTTCTGAAGTGAGCCAGTCAATGGGTTTGCTGGTTTGAGTTTGATGATTTCTCTTGATTAGACTGAGGATGTACATTCTTGGGAAAGATATCATGGAGGTGAGGTACCCTTCTTAGTAAATCTTAATAGTGCATGATGTCAGCATGTATTATTGGTGGTGTTAACCTTGATCAGTTGGCTCAGGTGCTGTCAGGATACTGTAGTACAAATGTACTATTTTTCCCTTGGTAATATCTAAATATTTTGAGAGAGATACTTTAAGACTCTGCTTAGTTTTTACTCACTAATTTTAGTGTCTATTGATTTTTCTTGCCTGTGGGGGAGTTCTAATGGTAATTTTTAATTTATTTATTTTATTTTTATTTATTATTATTATTATTTAATGGTGATTTTTATATTTGCCTCATTCTTTCTATGTTTAGGAAAAATTTTGTTAGAAAGAGTTGTTTCAGGGCGCCTGGGTGGCTCAGTCAGTTAAGTGTCTGCCTTCAGCTCAGTCATGATCGCAGGGTCCTGGGATCGAGCCCCACGTCGGGCTCCCTGCTCATCGGGGAGCCTGCTTCTCCCTCTCCCTATGCTGCTCCCCCTGCTTGTTCTCTCTCACTCTCCCAAATAAATAAATAAAATCTTTAAAAATAAAAAAGAGTTGTTCCTTTTCCCCCATTATAAATTTTACACAATTTTTAGTACTACCATTGTATTTTAATCTGAAGAAGAATGATAGATAGTTCTTTTTATAAGTTTAGGGCTAAATAGAATTTGTAAACTCAGTTCTTTGATGCCTGTATATTTCACTTTCTAAAGTTTATTTTTGTGTGGTTCTCATTTTTGTTATTTGTGAAATAGTTTTTTAGGTAAGTATCCATGTAACTATTCAGATGATTTTTCTGATATCAAGTATCTGAAGTTATAAGTTGGGAGAATCTACTGGAATTCTATTTTGTGTTAATAAGTAAGTAGTTTTAAGGTTTATAATTTAATAACTACTTCTGAGTAAAAACATATCTTTAATTTTTTTTTTCCTTCTTAGACTTGAAAAGGAATATACTACAATAAAAACTAAAGAAATGGAAGAGCAAGTTGAAATTAAAGTAAGCATCTCAGAACTTTTAAAAGTGCCAAACATAAATTTATTAAAGTCAGTCATTTGGTTATGTTGATATATCTATTTCCTGTAACAAATTTAGCAGTGATGTTTGTTATTACTTACTGATAAATTTACCATCCCACTAGGTAATAGTTAAAAATAGACATTTCAAAAACCAGAATAATGCAACAAGTAGTTTTCATTCTAGTGTGAGAACAGCTCTGTTTCTAGATTTGTTGGTGGGTCATCAGGAGAAAATACTTGTATGGGGAAGATAATTACCACTTCATTTAAGCATATTTTTAAAAATGCAGAGAAGTCAATCTGTAACATGCATAGACTAACAGCAGTGTAGTCTGAGGTGTACCAAATAGAGCACATCATTGCACCAGCACTAATTATGGCTGCCTTAGAGCTGCAGGAAACTTTGGCTAATTCAGTTTTCTCATCTCTAAGCAAAGGTTATACTTTTGAACTCTCCACAGGAACAGGTAGATTGCCAATTTTAAGGGATATATAAATTCCTATGTATACCTTAAAAATCTTATTTGTACCCTCTGTAGGCCAGAAGTTCCTAAGTTGATGATCTTTGGCATTGTTCAGAATTAAGAAAAGTTCTATAGGTTTTATGATGATATTTCAGGATGGGGATAATGAGTAGAAGCAGGAGTTAGTGAAGAAACTCAGTGACTTGGTGATCCAGTTTCTTATCTCTTTGTCTATGCTCCCCCTTCCAAAAAAAAAAACCCCCACAAAAAAACAAAAATAAAACAAGTTTTGAGTGACTCCCCCCTTTTTTTAAATTCTACATTTGGATGTGTCTGAGTTTTGACTTGAACCGGGCAAGACGTTAGATGACCACCTTACTTATGATTATTTAGCCGTGTCTTAATTCACCTTTGCTGTAAAGTACCTCTTCACTACTCACATCCATGGGCCCTTTTTAGAAGTAAGGGAATGAGTTTTATGAAATTGGTATTCTTTCTTGCCATGGTCCTTCTCAAAAGCCTCCTCGGAGACAACCTCTCCTTTGTTTCTGTGTGACCTTTATCTCGTCTGTCTCCTTTTTTAGATGTTTTATTTTCATTTTTATCAGTATTCCCTATTGATTGGAAATAGATACTTCTACATTTTTCAGAGAGAAAGAAAAGACCCTTGTGGATGTTTTTCCCTCCTTTTTAAAAATTCTGTCACCCAACTGCTGCTCTACCATTTGCTTTTCTTTTAGGTACCATGAGTAAGAGTAACATTAAATCATACCCTCCACTTCAACCTACTGAAAGTGGAAAAGTACGTCAACCTGATGAGTGGGGAGAGAGTATGGGTTATCGCATACCACGAATATTCGGAACTGCAAATCAAGAATCTGAGGATGGGAAGCCATCCTGTTCATTTCACCATGCTATGTTATTGCAAAAAAAAAAAATCACAGTTCTGTGAACAATCTTTGCTCTTAAAGAAGTTTCTTCTAAAATTAAATCAACAGTAGGAATACCAAGAGGCCTTTTCAGAAAGATCTTTAGCACAATTTAGCTTGTATTTATAGTTTTTCTCAAACTTCAGTTTTGGGGGAAACTTACAGTTAATATACCTCACAGAGTATTTTTGAATGCCAGCTCCATGTGTCTTAGGGGAAAACAGATGGCACAAAGTGTTTATAGAGAGGAAATGGGGGGTGGGTCAGAATGAAAGTTCAAAAAGTTAGTAACACATGGGGGTAAATAAAATCTGCTGATCTCCAAGGTAGTTTGTTCCTTTTTTTTTTTTTTTTTTAAAGATTTTATTTATTTGATAGAGACACAGGGAGAGAGGGAACACAAGCAGGGGAAGTGGGATAGGGAGAAGCAGGCTCCCCGTGGAGCAGGGAGCCTGATGCGGGGCTCAATCCCAGGACTCTGAGATCATGACCTGAGCTGAAGGCAGACGCTTAACGACTGAGCCACCCAGGTGCCCCCTAGTTTGTTCCTTTTATACAATTTTGTTTCCACATAGTTTTTTCTTACTCTCAAACCATTTTCATTTCTTTCTTTACTCCTCCTGCCACCAAAAAGGACAAAGCCATGACCATTTTTGTGGGACTGCACCTTTTTTTACTTTGTATAAACTTGGGTATGTCTGATTTTTGACTTGGACCTGGCAGCTCATCTCAGTCATAATCAGATGACCACGGCATTTATGGATAGTTAGCCATGTATTATTGGAGGCTTTCTCTAAAATGGGAAGTGCCACTTCCTTAGTCACACTCTCTCTCCTTCTCCCCAAGGTCCCTTTTACAAGGGAATGAGTCTCTTAAACTAATGCTTTCTTGCCTTAGTCCTCCTCAAAAGCCTTCAGAGAGATAATATTAAACTGTTTTTTATACAAGCAAATGGTATGATCATCAAATTAATTAATGTTTTGATGTGGAAGTAAAAAAATCAGCCATTGATCAAGTTTCCTTTCTTTTGTTTTACTTAAAATTCTAAGACCTTTGGGTTGTGGACCTTTTTGTCTAAGAATTATATGTGGAAGCTCCCTGAAGAAGGTGTAACTTCTAAGTATTTTCCACCCCTTTTCTGAAAGTGTTACAGAAGTTTTTGATAATAATTGTTTCGTATGGAGAATCTTACATTTTATTGTGTGAAATTTTTTATTAATAGAAACAGCTTTCTCAGTATCTTCTTCCAATCTATTGATCTTCCACCTGAGGGGGAGGAGGTAAGAAATATTAAAATTCTAGTTTATATTAGGTTACCTCACAAATCCTTAAAAAAGAAAAACCTTTATTCCCCCATTCTATTTAAGGCTGACATTTGAGCTGATTATCTAATATTCGTATTTAAATTTTGTGCTTTGGGATGTAGAGATTTGAGCCCTGCAAATGAGAAAAGTTAGAGATTCTGACTGGTTTTTAGCCAGAAGTTCTTTTTTTTTTAAATTTAAAAATTATGAAGTATTCCAGATATGTTGAAAAACAGAATAATATAAAAACACTTGTGTATTCACTGCCTGGCATAAAAAAGGAAAACATGACAAATGTTATCTGAGTCATTCAGGAGTTATATTTAACAGTCAGTGTGAAGTGTTAGTGTTGACACATTTATTTAACACTTAATACGTGAAGGGTCATTTACACACATCATATACTTTTATTCTTCTCATAACCTTATGAGAGGGTTCTTATCCTTGTCCTTTTGAGCTTCAGAAAGCTCAAAAAATATGCTAGTGGTCACATTGCTAGAAAATGGTGGAAGTCAAGGATTTGAAATCTGATTTATGTTTTTCTAAGACCCATATATATTCTTAAGTGTGCTGTTTTCCAAAAGAGACTTAATGCATTGTGATGTAAGAAGGATTCAGATGCCTGTTTTTCTGTGGCATCACAAACTTTCATTAAAAAATTAATGGCTATATAATAATATCTACTGGGGGTTACAATAACATAATTTATTCAAGAAGTCATCCATTTAACAGGTATTTGTAGAACCTACTACATGTCCAAACACTATTCTAGGCACTTGAAATGTGTTTATGAAATAGACCAATTTCTGCCCTCATCGAACTTACATTCTAGTATGGGAGTCAGGCAATAAACAGAAAAGTAAAATACATAATATTTTGATGAGGATAAGTGTTAAATAGAGAAAAGAACACATCAGGGAAGGGAGAGTAAAATGGTAGTGTTTGGATTGAAAATTTAGAGAACTTGACTAGATTACTTTTGAATAAATACCTGAAGGAAGTGAAAGAGCTAGATACATAGATATCTGGAAGGAGAGCAGAATCCAGTCAGGAGTGTGCCCAGGGAGAAATAGTAAGGAAACCATGTGGATGGGACAGTATACATGATGAGGAAAGTGACAGGAGTAGGGTGTTGTTGAACATGTAAAGACTTTGACTTTGAACCTGGAAAGCCATTTGGGTTTTCAGTGGAGGAGAAGGTATGTTGAGTATATTGCAGGGGACAGGAAGACTAATAGAGGCTGATGGAGTACTGCAGGCAACAGATGATGGTGGCTTGGACTGAGGTGGTAAGAAATGATTGGATTCTGAATAGATTTTAAAGAGAAAGCTGACAAGGTGATTGTGGAGGTATGAGAGGGATAGGAATTAAGCATTTTGGCTTTAGTATGGAGAAAAATAGCGTTCCCAGTACCTGAGATGGGGACGTCTGCAGGAGGACCTGGTTTGGGGAGGAATATCAGGAGCCTAGTTGGAGGTATTTTAAGTATCAGATCCCTAGGAGATGTTCACGTAGGGCCTTGAATATTCAGAGTTGAATTTAAGAGAGGGCAGGCTCAAAATATAAATTTTGCAGTTATTGGCAGAATGATGATAGTAAAAGCCTTTAGAGTGGATGAGATTACCTGGGGAATAAGTGTAGATGAGAGAAGAGAGTTCAAGAATTGAACCGGATCATAAGCCAACATTTAGAAGATGAGAACAAAGCAGGAGAACACTAGGGAAGTATAAGTGTCCTAAAGCCAAGAGAAAAGAGAGTTTCAGAAAGAGAAGGATTTTACTGTGTCAGTGCTAAAGAGTGTTCTTGTGAGATGAGGATGGAGAAATAATGAATTTGTCAGCGTGGAGATAAGCTGGAAAAGAGCAGAGAAGTAAACTTGAATGAACTAGAAAAAATTGGAGATAGGGAGTATAGATATCTTTCAGGGAATTTGCTATAAAGAAGAGAGAAATGGGACAATAGCTGAGAGGATCATGATGTTGAGGGGATTTTGGTTTTTCTTTACTTTTTATTAAGATGGGAGAAATAACCACGTTTTAATGGTGATAACCAAGTAGGAAAAACTGATGATGTGTGAATGGCAGGGGGTAATTGCTAGGGTCAGCACGGTTTAGGATTTAGCACATGGTGGGAGATTTGATCTCCTGGCATGGATAGTTAATCCATAAGAACAAGAGAGAATCTAAAATATATGGGAAAAAATGTAGGTAAGAGGTAGGATGGTTGTGGGAGCTTGCAAAGTTTTGTTCTTAATGCTTCAGTTCTTTAGTGAAATTGGAAACAAGATTATCATTTGAAGGGTTCCTGGTTTAAAGAAAGAGGAGCAAGTATGAAATAGGGATCTGAGAGGGTGAGAGAAGGAATGGCCTAAGGAAATACATTATTGCTGTTAGAGTGCATTAGTAGTCCAACTGAATTTAGTGATTGTTAATTTAAACAAACTTTATTGATTTATTTTTTTTCAGTCATATTTACCAACATAGGTGCAGACCCAGAGTTGTCAGTGTGTTAACCCAGAGTAGTGGTTTTACCAGGCAAGTATGCTAACTCATAAGGGAGAAAGGGCAGAGGGGAGGATAAAAGCCAGGGAACATTTATAATGATTGGAAATTAAATTTTGTAAAGAGGGACGAGAGCACATCAGAGTGAGGGACAATGAAAAGTTGATAAGATCAATGGATTATCCCAATGAGGAAGATTATTGAGTTTGGGTTATTTCATAAAATGAGTAAGAATAAAATGGCAAGAATAAAGTGAGTTGTTAGAAACTGAAATTCCCCCATTTGGGGATATTTAGGGTTTTTAATCATTTTTCTTCCTTTTTTTTAAAATTTTTTAAAGATTTTATTTATTTGACAGAGAGAGACACAGTGAGAGAGGGGGGACAAGCAGCGGGAGTGGGAGAAGCAGGCTTCCCGTGGAGCAGGGAGCCTGATGTGGGACTCTATCCCAGGACCCTGGGATCATGACCTGAGCCGAAGGCAGACGCTTAACGACTGAGCCATCCAGGCACCCCTAATCATTTTTCATGATTAAAAATAGCACGTATAGTTAGCATGTTTGTATATAAAGTTTAAAAAAAAATTTTTTTTAAAGATTTTATTTATTTATTTGAGAGAGACAATGAGATAGAGAGAGCATGAGAGGGGGGAGGGTCAGAGGGAGAAGCAGACTCCCTGCTGAGCAGGGAGCCCGATGCGGGACTCGATCCTGGGACTATAGGATCATGACCTGAGCTGAAGGCAGTCGCTTAACCACCTGAGCTACCCAGGTGCCCTGTATATAAAGTTTTTAGTACCTTATATTTTCTTAGCCAGTTGTAAAGAGTAGAATTATTGAATTATAGGATATTAGTATTTTTCAGACTTTTGATATGCACTAAGTAAATTTCCTAAAGAGTACTTGCAGGGTATGTTCTTTTTGGCAGCGAGTTTCCATTCCACTAACACCTTGCCTACATTAGATATTTCATTTTTGCTGTCACTCTTCATCTCGTATTCTCTTTTCTAATTTTTTTTTTCTCTTTTCTAATTTGATAGGTCAAAAGTCTCTCCCTCTTTTTTTTTAAGTGTATGTATCTGTCTTTCTCTTTATGGTTTTCACTTTAAAGTTTAGAAAACACTCTTCATTCACTCTGGCAAATGTAATTAAAAAGACAGGTACTCAAAAATAATGAGAATTCAATCAAGTGATAGATTTTAGTCATTAATTTTCCTATATATCAGCAATAAACATTTCAAAAATATCTTAGAAAAAGAAATTCCACTTAAAATAAGAATAACAGCATCTAGGATCACCTAAATGAAAAATAGGATAGAACCTAACAAATTATCACTGAAAAGCTTTGCATAAAGACATTTAAAGGATGAATAAAGGGGAGAGACGAAAAGAACTCTATGTTAAAGTTACTGTTTCCCCCATCAAATACACATTAACAAATCCAGTCATTTAATTCCTTGTGATTTTGCAGAGCATTAAAAAAATCTAAAGAAGGGTTGTAAACAAAAGACAAAAATTATAAAATAGTATTCATGCCTGACTTCAAGAATATTATGAGCAATGCTTATCATTAATCAAGTTTTTGGTATTATGCTGTCTCATTAATTTTTCCCATATCATTGTAGGTTTTATTACTCTAATTTTCTAGATGAGGAAATGAATAATCTAAGATATTGAGTAACATGCACAGGTGTTAATTTTGAAGTGAGAATTTGAACCTAAACCTACCTAACTCCAAAACCCACTCTCTCAACTAATTTAGTATACTAGTACTTAGGGTTTGGGGAGGATAAACAAAACAATATAAGGATGGGGGAAATTAGATCCACCAGACATTAAAGGGGATTACAAAGCTATAATTACCAAAATACTGTGGTGCTAATCCAATAAAAAGACAGAAACACTTGAAATTTAATAGGTAATCCTGAAATAGCCCTTAATAACTGATAAAGTCTATTATATTTATCAATTTATAATGAAATAGATGTCACATAAATGAAGAATTTGTTTATTTAAAAAGTGGTATTCAAACATTTGGGTAGATGTTTGGGGAAGAAATCAATTTCAATTTTTATTTATAGCAAAATTTTAGAAGATTTAAAGGGGATGGAGAGGGAAACCCAGGTAAATGTTTTTAGTTCTGAATTTTATAATATTTTAGCATCATTTCTATTGTAACATTAACTATATTCCCTCAGTTGTCTGGTTGAACTTTCTAATAAGTCTTTTAGGATAAAAAAAAATTTATTTTTTTTTTGATGAAATATGTTGAGAACATTTTGAGAGTCACATTTGTTTCTTTGGATTTGCAGATTTTAAAAGCATTTAATAATTGCTTATTTGTCTAGACCACTGTGCTACACATAATACGAATGGCCAAGAAATGAGAAACATTTTCTTCCCGAATTCAAGCTTTTTTGTAGTCTGAAGTCACACATAAAGTAATAATCAATTTCAAATCATTTAAATAATTCTAAATGAATAGAACAAGAAAAATCTAATTTGCAAATCTATCTAATAACTCTAAGATTTATTTGTTCCGATTTGTGGTTCACTTAAGATATAATAATTCATAGAATCTTTATTTCCTTGGTCTGAGACTTTATATGTTATATAAACTATATTTTAGTCTTTACTGGAAAAATGATAGATTGAATTAATAGAAATTTCTGAGGAAAACATTTTTAAAAGCAGGAATTTAGAGGATGGTAGGGTTGGAATAAGGCTAGATTAAGTTCTGGGGTAAATTTGTATAAAAATAAAAGGTAAGGGGAATTTGAAATTCTAATGATGGCAAAATGAAGAAGTAAGTTGAAGGATTCTAAGATGAAGGGATAACTTATATCAGGTTTCATATGAAAATTTGTGGATGGAATATACAGAAAGATGATTTTTTTATGTAGAGTGTTTTAGTTTTAATACTTAACAGTAATTTGATAGGATTTGGGGAGTCAGGTATTGAATGGTTAGGTGAAGATTTTTTTTTTTAATCTGGTTTTACTTTTTTGTTTTTATTAAAGATTTATTTTATTAGAGAGAGAGTGTGTATGCGGGAGGTGGGGAGAGGCAGAGGGAGAAGAGAGTCTTAAGCAGACTCTGTGCTGAGTGCGGAATCCAACACAGTGCTTCATCTCAGGACCCTGAGATCAGGCCCTGAGCCAAAACCAAGATTCAGTCTCTTAACCAACTGTGCTACCCAGGCACCCCAAATCTGGTTTTGCTTTTGAACTATAGGAAAATGCTAGTAATCAGAGCTGTTCATTTTTTTTTAAGTTTGGTATTTTTTTTTAAGTTTTTAATCTTTTTTTGAGTAGGCTCCATGCCCAACGTGGAGCTTGAACTGACGACCCTGAGATGGAGTCAGATACTCTACCGACTGAGTCAGCAAGGTGCCTCCATTTTTTTAAGTTCAAAACAACTCATAAATAATTAATTGGATGAAAACAACTCAATCTTTATATTTTCAGAATGTAAGGAATTTTGCAGCTTTGCATATGTAAGGCAGAAATGAAGGCTGGTCTAGTTCTGAACTGACAATTTGGTATTTATCCTATGAGCTGCATTTTTCAGATTTCTTATTTGTTTCTTTGATAAACATTTGAATACTATTTGTGTAGATAGTCTTTGTAGGAGGTAAATGAGTTAGAGTCTTTCCTATCTAATGGGGATGTTAAGACAGATAAGAAAATACTGATTATGAGTCATGGTTGGTACTTTAAAGAAAGGGGTTATTTCTGTATGTACTGTAGCTTATATTTAAAATTCAGTCACAGCTAGAGTGATAAATGTCATTTCCTTTACTCTGTATTTCCTACTCTGAACCTATAAGAGTTTGACAGACAATAATGTAACCATTCCTTAGACCTTTCCTATTTATAAAAGGTGGTACATTTTAAGGACTATGATTTAGGTATCTTTTCCTCAGGAATGCTTGCAAACAAAACCTCTTTTTTTGTTGTTTCTTTTTCTTCTTTTTCTTTTTTTTTTTTGCAGAGGTTACGCACAGAAAATAGACTTTTAAAACAGCGCATTGAAACATTAGAAAAAGTAAGTAAATAACTACTTATGCAAGCTTCCGTTGAATGCATAGTATTTTCTATTTATTTAAAGGTTCAAGAAATCTATCACGTCTCCAAAGTTGTGGTATTAACTGCTTAGCTTGCCTAGCTTACTACTTAACTAAGTAACTTGTCATTAATAAAAATTGATCACTATGAGTCCTTGAAATTTAAGGTTAAAGTTTTAATTAAGGTTTTTACTAGAGTAACATTGATATCATTTGTTTTCTTTACATATAATCTCTAAAAAGTACGTTCTTTAGAGGTAACCTAATTGAGAATTCATTCTGTATAGTATTTTAAAAATGACTTTCAAATGTTGCCCTTTCTAGCCACATATTAAATGTGTCAGTGACTCCTTTAAGGCCTAGGATTCCTTTAAATTTAGTCAGAATGACTGGCTGATTTCTTATATAAAAATTCACCATGGTGTTGATTTTCAACACGGGGGAATTATACTTAAACATTTGGTTCTCAAACTTATTTTGATGCTACTTATTATCTCTTTCTTCCTGTTTCATATAAAATAACTGGGCAAATCTGGAAAGTTTTGCATTATTTTTAATACTGTGCTTTTGATGTAATGTCTTCTGTAGTCTTGTTCGATGCTAAAAGAATATATTGAGAAATAAAAGTATAGTCTAAGAGTTTTGGTTTATTAAAAGAAAAACCTGAATTCACAAAGTCTTTTGGTGTTTGGAAGGGCTTTTTTTTTTTTTTTTAAACAAAAGATGAGAGTAAGTCGGTTAATAAATGATGTTGCGAAGTATCTTAAAATCTTCCCTGAAAATCTACAGATCAATAATCAAGAAAGAAAACGTGAAGATATGGGTAGTTCGGATATTTGTCTTTTGTTTGAAAGCATCACACCACACACAAGGATAAGATGTTTATTTCATGTCTTTTGGTTGTGTAATAATTTCAGGTACATTAAGTCAAAAACAGTTTTCCTGTATTTCCTACATCTTATTAGAGTTGCTTTGAGGATAATTCTACTTTTTTGGTGACTCTGCAAAAAGGTTGAGCTTAATTTAGTTTTTAAGTTGTTCTAATTGCATATTTTTTTTCCACTAAATACTGTTTATAATATCTGTCTTAGGTGGTCTTTTATCTTTGGAATGAGATATTTTCACAGAGAAAGTATTTTTATTTCACTGAACCATCAGAAAGATAAAGGTGCCGTAGGAAAGTGTTAAGTTTGGATTTTACTTCTAGAAAATTAAGTACCTTTCTCCTGGCTTACATAGCCTAGGTCTGTCCTTTAGCACTTAGAATTCTATAAATACTTATATATCAGTTAAATTCTGTAACCAAAATATTTACTTATTGAGTTATTGCTAGAATTTATTACGTTGAGCTCATTAATTTCATTTGTCATATTTTCCTTGCTTTGCTTCTTTGGAAGTTGCTGTTGTACAAATTGCTGTCACACTTTATAAGTGGAATTGCTTACTCAAATTCCTTCTCCCTTTCCTATAAGTGGTTTGACAATATGGCTGACTCCAAACATGAAGACTTAAAGAATGCTTTAAAAAGAAGCTATTTGCTTGTCTCAAATGATGAAAAACCTCTTGGAATTTGTGTTTGGTCTTCTAGAAGCATATGATTTTCTGCAGTTTATCCTTATTTTGATATATTTTTCGTAAGGGTTAAGAATAATAACAAACACAGTAAATAGCCATAAAACCAAATCTAAATGTCTATTTTAATTACAATGAAAAGTAGATGGAATTTGGGTATGCTTTGTTTCTTCTTATTCCTAATTTTATGCACTTTTATTTTATTTCTTTCTCTTAAATTTCTATCTGAATTTTTCCTTTTGTAGGAAAGTGCTTCCTTGGCAGATAGATTGATACAGGTATAGTTTTTTTGTTTTTGTTTTTTTAGCATTTTCTCTAACTTACTTCTAAGGAAAGTCGTAAACCTAGAAATTCACTTTTAACGCATGCAATTTTACATGCATTTTCCTAGAAATAATTTTTTGGGCTGATATATATGCGTGTAAACTTAATTTTTGATAACAGTGTGTTATCTTGGTTTATTAAACATCTTTTGCACGTTTTAAAGCTAACCTTAAAGTATTTGTTCCAAAATGTCAATCAATGGATTCTGCGAAATTAACTACTATACATTGAAAATTTTAGTCCTGCATGTACAACTCAGTAATATTGCATGAATTGAATTTTTATTGACTGAACGAAGAACTGTTCTTAAGATTATCAGATAAATTTTTTAATTTAGTTTCCCAAAATTTGCTGGAGCGATAATGAGCTGCTGGTTAATAATTACTTAGGCTGTTCTGTTCTCTGAGGTGATTTTTTTTTTTTTAACATGTCACAGTAAATAACTAAACCTTACAAAGGCAGTCTTTCTTGAATCTATCCTAAATTGCTTTACACACACATAAATTATGTCCTAAGGGACAAGTGACAAGAGCCCAGGAGGCTGAGGAAAACTACCTCATAAAACGGGAGTTGGCCACCATCAAACAGCAGAGTGATGAGGCCAGTGCTAAACTGGAGCAAGCTGAAAATACCATCAGGAAGCTCCAGCACCAACAACAATGGGTAAGGAGTCTGGTAGTGTTTTTTCTCACCTTTCTCATCCCCCTTCCTTTAAACTTTTTTTTTTTTAAGCACAACTTCTGTGCTTTTGTTTTAAGTAATTTTGTTTTCTACTTTAATTGAATTCTTAATCTGCTTTATGTTCTGTAATACTTAGGGGTCTTACTGTGGTCTAAAGACTCTTCATTCTAACATTCTTTCTCTGTCCACACAGTTTTGTTAGAAATAGGTAATATTTTCTTTTCTTACATTATATTTTAAGTCACAAAAAATAAGTGATGTTTGTCAGACCTGCTTTTTAGGTTTTAGAAATCTGTTTCATATTGGTATTTTGCCATGGGTAATTTTTGAGTCTTAACTCCAGCTAGTTCTTGTTAATTGTGCAGATAAAATATTATATCCAACATAGAGAATATATATAATTATCTCACTAATGTTTCGATAATGTGGGGATTTATGTCTTGTGAAAAACTACAGCCTTAACTTCCTACATCAAGATGTCAAATTATGGTTTAAGATATATGCTTACATTTTTTTCAAGAAGGGAGAAATTTCAAAACTTTTAAAAAACTATGTTAACTAATTCAAGTTACTAAACAGCTGTTCTCAGATATCTTTTGCAACTTAGACACCATTTTCCATTGGCAAATTCAGACTAGTGTAATCTTAATCAAGGATATGAGGGCTAAAAAGAAAAGCCAACTGTTTATTTTTAAAAAGATACTATTTCTTGTTTCAGTTTTCTGTTCTCAGGAGTTAGATTGTAACGGTAGGCAGAAAAGGTTATGTTAAATCTAGAACTCCATATAGGTCAGGAAGGCAAATAGAATGACTTCAAATTGGACATTACTTTTATTCAGTAAAATTAAGAAATACCATCATAAGCTGGCTACAGATATCAGAAACTGAAAGCAAAAAGAAGAAATTGACAATTGAAAAAACCATAAAATAGATTTATTTTTTTCTATTAAGTAAATGAAGATCATTACGAAAAATGAATAGAAAGGTAGTAAAAGAATACTAAAACGTTGGGAACTCAAATATTTTGTCCTGCCTTTGTATGAAGTGTCAATATCAAAGCATAAAAAATAGACGAAACAGAATTGGGGATTCCTATTGGGGATTAGGTTAAACTGAGTTACCAGTGTAATGTGATTTTGTTATAGGGAAAGACAGTATTATGTTTGCATTTAGCATGAGCTACAGTAATAATCCATTAGAATCATGAATTATTAGTTTTTTTGTGTAGTTTTTCAAATATTGAGACCAATAGGACATAAAAATAAGAATGTTCATTTATAATGAAAAAAGTAAAATGGATGGGAAAATGGGAATGAACTGAAGCTTTTGAAAATAAAATATAACAAAAGAACCTCTGTGCTGTTTCAAGGACAAGATAGACTCACATTGTGGAGCTAAAATATAACAAGTAGAATGCAGATCTCTACTTTGATTTTGCTTACATTTTTTTCTCACTTGGCAGACATTCTTCTAAACTGGAATAAAATGTAAAACAAATATATGAAGCAGTGATGTACAAAACAGGTGAAAGTAACAGAGCCTTGGTTAAATTTCCAACTTCAAAATGCCTATCTCTAGATAATAAAATAATTTGCAAAATACAGGAATATTATTGTCTTTAAAGGATTTTAGAAAATAAGAGATCCTAAAGACTTTGAGGTGGGCAAAACATAGCTCTTTAGGTAATAATGGTTGAATATCTGAAAAGAAAACCAGTGAGTTTGATATTTCATTAAAAATTCCTAGAACATCTGGTTTGTGAACAATTAGAAAATAACTTTTACTCTTTAAAAGGGAATTTACTATGTATAAGTCAAAACAAACTGACTTTATTTCTGCAGTAAACAAAAACTGTGCCATAAGTGAAATTTTAAAAGTTATTTGTTAGGCACTCTCATGGTATCTTTCTAGTTAAGGTAGAGAAATATAGATGAAAGTAGTAAACTTAAGTGGTTTTATATATGATTAACTATATCAAGAGTTTATCCATGTTGAAGTAAAGAGATGTCAGAGATGTCTTTGTCCCCTAAACCTGTTTTAATGTTATTAAACTCTTATATACAAGGTATGTTTAAGAATTTTATACATGAAATATTTCAGAAATGTAGCTAATATGTTGCATAATGAATAAAGATTCCAAAATATTTTTAAAGTATATTCAGAATAAGAAACTAAAATAAAAGGTTATTTTACAGAAATAAATCTATAGCCTTGCCCTTAATTTTCAAATTCAGAGAGCTGTCTTAGTGGTGCTTTATGTAACAAAGACCTAGAAATTTTAATTGGCAGGAAATCAGGAATTAGCCAATAATGCAATACAGTTTACCCTCCTCCCCCCACCCCAAGTAATCTTCCTAGAAGTATAATGATCCAATTTAATTCTAAGTAACTTGCAGAAAATTTGTAGTCTTGTTTCTTGTTTGAAAACCAAAACTCATTTGAATTGTTTACCCACTGTATTATGGCCAGTGTAGGAAAGACTGTGGCAGCTCTGGATATTTTTAGACTGTACTAAAGAAGACTTTATGAGAACATCATAGATATAGTCATTTACAAATATTTGAGAAGTGATCTTATGGAAAAGTGATTAGCCTTTTTTGATATTGCTTCAGAGGGCAGAATGTGTTTAAGGTCCAAGGATACAAAATCTTATTCATTGGAATTTTGACAATTGGACTAGTTGCTTTGCAGAGTAGTGAGCATATGAGTGGTAGGAAGTGAACATCTGTTGCTACATGTTTTGATTTCAGCCTTCCAATATAACCACATGAATTCTTCAGAACTCAGAATAAAGGTTTCAAACCTCTATTCCAGGAGGAGGTATTGAATTACCAATATAATCATCCACCACCATCACCCTCTATTGCCAGTAGTGTCATTTTATATGATATAAAGAGCTTTGGATTTCATTTGTGGGACTGAATTCTAGTCAGACTGTTTTGCTAATTGTGTGACTTTTGATATTCAAGGATTCAGTTTTTTTTCTCTAAAATGATTACATAGGGCTAGACCATCTCAAGTCTCTATTTAAGTGAACTTTATTGAAGTATAATTTACATGCAATAAAATTCATCAAATTTAAGTGTATAGTTTGATGTGTTTTAACAAATGTATCTAGTTGTATAACCATCACCACAATCAAAATACAGAGTATTTCTATCACCCCCAAAATTTTCATCATGTCCCTTTGCAGTTCACCTCTCCACTTCCAGCAACCATTCTGCTTTCTGTCACTGTAGTTTTGCCTTTATTAGAATTTCATATAAATGGAATCATTAAGGTATGAGGCTTTTGTGTCTGGCTTCTTTCAGTTAGCATATTCACTCACTTTTTTTCTTTTTGGCAATTTTATTCTTAATTGTGGTAAAATAGATACAACATAAGTTTACCATTTAAATGCATAGTGCATGACACTAAGTACATTGACAATGCTCTGAACAATAACCACCATTTATTTCTTGAACTTTTTCATCATCCCAAACAGAAGCTTTGTACCTATTAAAAAATAGTTCCCCCTTTCTCCTTCCCCTGATAATCTCTATTCTACTTTCTGTCACTCGTATGAATTTGCCTCTTCTAGGTAACTCATATAAGTGGAATCATACAATATTTGTCCTTTTGTGTCTGGCTTATTTCGCTTAGCGTAATATCTTCAGGCTCATCCCTGTTGTAGCATTTATAATAATTTAGTTAGTTTTGGGCGCCTGGGTGGCTCAGTTGGTTAAGCGACTGCCTTCGGCTCAGGTCATGATCCTGGAGTCCCGGGATCGAGTCCCGCATCGGGCTCCCTGCTCAGCGGGGGTTCTGCTTCTCCCTCTGACCCTCCCCCTTCTCATGCTCTCTCTCTCTATCTCATTCTCTCTCTCAAATAAATAAATAAAAATCTTTAAAAAAAATAATTTAGTTAGTTTTTATGGTAGTTGAACAATACTGTGTTTTATGCTTATACCAATTTTGTTTATCTGTTCATCCATTGATGGTCATTTTGGTTTTCTGCCTTTTGGCTATTATGAATAATGCTGCTGTGATCATTAACATACAAGGATCTGTTTGAATCCCTGTTTTTAATTCTTTGGCATATATACCTAGAAGTGGAGTTGCTTGATCATATGGTAATTCTGTTTAACTTTTTGAGGAATCACTAAACTGTTTTCCACAGTGGCTGCACCATTTTACATTCCCACTAGCAATGTACAAGGGTTCTAATAAATTTCTTTATTCCTCACCAACTCTTGTTATTTTCTGTTTTGGGGGGGTTTTATTTCTTGTTTTGTAGCAATAGCCATTCAGAAATTGGAGATGATATTTCATTGTGGTACCTAGGAATAAATTTAACCAAGAAGGTGAAAGACTTGCACTGAAAACTGTGAATCATTGTTTATTCATCTCTTGATGAAAGAAATTAAAGAAGGCATAAATAAATGGAAAGACAGCCTGTGTTTACGGATTGGAAGACTTAATATTGTTAATATATCAACACTACCCAATATGATCTACAAAATTTTAACTTTTGCAAAAACGGGAAAGCTGATTCTGAAATTTATATGGAATTGCAAGGGGCCCTAAATATTAAAAACAATCTTAGAAGAACAGAGTTGAGGAAATCATGCTTCCCCAATTTGAAAACTTATGACAGTGCTAGAGTAATCAAAACAATATGATACTGTCATGAAGATAGACATACATATCAATGGAGTAGAAATTTTGAGAGTCCAGAAATAAACCCATATATCTGTGGCCAGTTGATTTTTGATGTGGGTGCCAAGACCATTCGATGAGGAAAGAATAATCTCTTTGACAAATGGTGCTGGGAAAACTGTATATCCTTATGAAAAAGAATGAACTGGGACCCTTACCATATATCATATACAAAAATTAACTCAAAATGGATCTAAATAGACATTTTATAGTTTTAAAATAACTGTTTTATGGTTTTAAAGTCATATAGCATTCTTAGAACACATGGATATATCTTCATGACC